AACATTATTTATTAAATTTAAGTCCTTGGAGTTCACTGCCCTGCATATCTTCTGGTCTTAGCTCATTCAATACAACAGATATGAAAAAGCTTCTGAAAGAACATAATGTTCAGTGGCACCTTGCATACAAAGTAAAATCATGTACTTTTTGTTCTGAAGCAGTTTGTCATCCTTACAAGTTTTTATAGCTAATGCCTACACACACGTCCACCTGTAATACTGTTAGAACACTGTGAAATATTTTAGGTTAAACATTTTCACTGATCCAGTGTGATGTCATCATAGTTGTAGTCATTAAATCACAGTGAGCAAGCTGTTACATGATGTTGATGACTGTACATGTAACATTTAGTCCCAGTGTTTCAACATGTCTTCCTAATGGTCAGAAGTCATCTGACAGGTTGTGTCTGAACACGAAACCATTTTCATAAGGATTTGCTTTTGTTTTTGTTTTTTAACTGTTATGAATTTTTAAAAGTACAAGATGTACATCTTTAAAAATAAAGGGAAAAGCTGTTTGAGCACTATGTTGTCTGCACTAAAAATAAATATTTACTGTGACATGCTGCACAAGGCTGTTCCTCCCTTCTTTTCAGAACTTATGGCAACTTAGGCCCTGTTTACATGACAATGATCCAACAAAAATGGAATTTTTGTTCCATTTCTGTTAACACATTTACATGAAGACATTCTAATTACAATCTTTGTTTACACAGTAATGCTACACATTGAAAAGGTGTACCAGTTGGTGATAGGTTCTTTGAAACTAAGTGCGCATCTGTTTAATAAAAAAAAGTTCTACTTGAAAGCACGTCGATTCGTGTTTCCCCATCAGAGCCCGTTCCCCCAGATATTGGGGGAAAACACACACTAGGGCGCATGTGACACTTGTCCCTACTGTCACACAGAGATCTGAATGGTAATCGTTTTTTTTGTTTCTCCTTAACATTAGTTTAGATATTGATTAGTGAATAGTTTAGATTTTCATTTTTAAAAATTATTTTTATTTGCCTGACTCTTTAGTTGACTATTTGCAGTGCACACATTTAGTTAACTTTATCTGTCAGTTCTTTATATTTTAGTTAAATGCAACAAATTAATTTCTTTGTTTTGAGTTACCAGTTTCCTTTGGAGCTGCTGCTGGTGTATCACTCAGAAGAGCTCCAGCTAATCGATGTCCTTATATGACTGGCAAACCTTCTCAGCAGATCATTCCATTTGTTTGTCAGGGGAAGGGGAAGTTTGGTTTTCTTTAGTTTAATTTGACCATTTCTTCAATGTTCCTTCTTTTTGCCAGTTTAGTTCTAATAGTATTTATTTAATTTAAAGATTTAGTCTTGTGTTGACCAGTATTT